CTTACCCCCCCCCCCCCGGAAGTCAGCTACTCGGTCATCATGAGCTAAAAATGTTTATGGCTTTGAGGCTCGGAGTGCTTGATTGATGATGGCACAACATACATGGGACCCCCACTGTTGCAAGTACCGACCGATGTTACTGAGCTTCCGGACCGTTTGGATGCGCACAGGCCACCGGGAACTCAGGCACTGTTGGCCTCCACGCAGATCGTGAAAGATGAGGAGTGCCAGACCCTAAACCCGAAACCTTCAACCCTAAACCTCCAACCTTCAGCACTGAACACTAGATCCTCGACCCTGAACCTTAAACCCTAAAACGCGAAAACTTGAACCCTGAACGCCAAGGATTAGAAGCAGAAACGACTTGCAACGTTTTGCTTGGGAGTGAGGACCGGGGCTTTGGACCCTGCTGTATATGCGAGACAAGCGCTTCTGAAAAAAGAGGAGCTCGGGCTTAGGGTTCAAAGAATTCTGGGTTTGGGGCCTAGGATTTTACGGTTTAGGGGTTGGGAGACTGCCAGTGCAGTGTCATCTAATCTACATGGGCAGGAGCTTGTTCGCCCTGAACACTAAATCCAAAGTCCCAAACCCGAAACCTTGAACCCTAAATAGCCTTAAAAGCGTAGGGTCCATCTTCTTTTCCATTTCCCGTACATAATCCCCATATAACCTTTTCTACCCCTATACATATACATATATATATACATTAATATATCTATATGTAATCCCCAACATTCTACTTCAATTTTCCCATGCATAACCCAGCCTTCTGGATTCGTAAAGTAACGCTTTTTCGTGGTTTTTGGGCGCCTCCTTTGCTCCTTCTTTCGGTGGAAGATGCGCAGCCTGCGCGTTTAGGCTGCTGAAGGTTGAGTCATGTTGAGGTTGTTCAGGGTCTCAGGATTTAAGGCTCAGGATGTAGGGTTCAGGGCTTGCGGTTTAGGGTTCGGTTCTCTTGCATCGCACCTTTTCTTTGCCTCCACGGCGAAACCAGCTTCCGAGAGTCCTTTGATTGTAGCTATTGTTCTCCTCAGACTCCGACTGAGTAGCAGCCTCGCCCTCTAGGCTGGTGCTGAAAAATTCAGGGTTTAGAATTTAGGGTTCGGGGTCTAGGGTTTAGGAAGCTGCTGGTTCTCCTGCCTGTGTTGTTATCGGCGCACTCCTGGCCAGATTCAGAGCAATCTGAAAATGTAAGCCGACGTGGTTAGCTCACTGCTGGCTACTAAACAATGATGCAATGGAAAAGACATTGAAGCTACTATCGTATTTCGGGCTTAGGGTTTGGGCTGGCAGTATAGAAACAAATATGTCCTTCAAGGTATATAACTTGGTTGAGGGGTGACAATTATTGAGGATGGAGGGAGGAAATCTTGCAGCACCCCAAATACCTTGTTCCCGAAATATTGCCGTATGTGGAGGTTCGGACACCCCAAACCCTATACCTCGAAGCCAGACCCAAACCCTAAATGCCAAAACCCAACCCCTACCTACAGCCCAAACCGTAAACCCCAAACTTTACCAAACACTGCACCCCAAACTTTACATGCTTAAGACCCCAAGCTTTCCTTCCCTGGGCCTTTGCGGCAGTGGCGACCAGGTTTGCGCCACAGGACGCCCAGCGCTCCTTGGGAAATCCCTGGGCAGAAATGCACTTCTTTTTTAACCCCTCCGACTTTTCCGGCTGCCCCGTCTAGGAATAGGGTTTAAGGTTCAGGTTTTGCCGTAAAGGCGATTAAGAGTTTAGAGTTTGTTCACCAAGGAATATGTCCTCGATTCCTCGATCATATCAAGTGTATTTGGCCCTGCGATCGCTTCAGGTACATTTGAAAATAGAAAGTGCAAAGCAAAAAATGCTCAACAACAACCCAGGCTCATGCCACGCACGATGCCTGCACTTGGGGCTTTCAAGTCTGCTCTTCAGGGATCATGGTAGTCCGTGAAAGACAAAAATTGTAGCTGCCTAAACTATTATCAAGAATGATCGCTGGCATGTTTTCAGCAGTTTGCACCCGAAAGCCTTTTCCAAGCATTCGGGTTTCTACAGTAGGCGGATGCTGCTGAGCGGCCCTCAGCATCCGCAACAACCAGATCTTTGTCCTGGCATGGAGGCTGCTTGCTGGTGCTTAAAAAGGCGTGGGAGAGTGGATCCTTATAACTTCCCCTACGCAGTCCCGATATATACCTCAGTAAGAATACCTGTATCCCATCCCCTCTTCGCCTTAAGCACCAGTGAAGCTTGGACTGTGGATATGATCAACGGTGCTTGTTGTAGGTCTTGGGTAAAGGGTCTTGGGCAGGTAAGTCCTCTCTGGATGTGTAGGCTGTGTACGTATATCACGAGTCACTAGTGGTTCTTTGATCGTAACTATAAGCAACTATGGGATGTTTCCTGGTTATAGCTTGGGCTTTTCCCTACCTAGCATTTAGGTGGTGCTCTTACTGTTGCAACTTGTGTCGAACCCTGCTGCATCCTCGCAGCTGAAGCACCTCCACTGCACGCATCTTTCCTGCACTCACTCTTAGAGAAGGCGCGCAGATCCGGACTTTCTGAGCGCACAAGCAAACTGCTGCATGATGTTCCTCCCTTTCTTGCAGGTCAAAACACGCTTGACGCTGCATCTACCGGTGGTTAGCAGGGAGCAAACGAACAGGCTACAGCAATTGGGTCATTCTACAGGGCGTGCTATAGAGATCTAGCCCTCCATTCGCTACTAACCACCCGAGACCCCATGTAACATCAAACCCAAATAATAACGCAGTTTGCATGTCTTGTCCATTCCTCCATTCCCCGCAAACGCCCAGCAAGAAACACGATGAAGGTACTCGGAGGTCCCCAGAAGCAGGGTCTAGTGAAGCACAGTAGGATTTTAGGAGTATACTACATGCTGCCATAGCTACACATCGGGCTTCTGGAGTCGTTCCTCTACATGTCCCCGAGATCTTCGTCACACGAGGAAGAAGTCACGGCTTACGACGTGGAAAGGGCTTCAATGAGCGGGTTGCGAATGACCCGCTACGAGCCTTAAACTGGATCTGCCCAACGGACTAATCCCACAACACCATGTGAAGAGAAGCGGTCAACCATTGACCCTGAAAACTGGTACGAACGTCAAGCATGTTGGAGTCAAGATTGATGAGCTGCGGCATCCGCAGCATTGGTCAGGAGTTTTCACAGAAAGCTGAGTGTCGCTTCAGAAAGTCGCTTGAAAAGAGGAAAATGACAATGCGTCCCGAGCGCTTTGCGCTGGGACGTGGGCCTGTCGTACCGGCCACAACTCTTGCAGTGCTTCAACGTCCTAAAACATTGCAAAACACTAAACAGCGGCGACTTTTTGGGCTTCAGGTTTTAGGGCAGGGCCTCCCACGTCTCATTTCTGATCTTTTCTACGACAGTTCCCAACAATGTGTCGGGTGCATCCAGGCAACCTCTCGAGATTTTCGAGCAGCACCAATGGCGACTCCAAGTGTAGGCGCAGGCAGAAGCCACACAAACTTCCTATCATGGGGAATTATAAAAATTGACTACTCTCCCTCAAGCACCAGTAAGCAACCGGAGGTCTTACGGAACTTTGTTGTAAATTGTGGTAACTTGCGACACGCTGTGGAGTCAGATTAAAACCTTCTTGATGAACAATGGAACGATGACATTCCATGTCAGCAAGGTCAAGGGCACAGGCGTGCATAATGCGCAGATTTTCTTCGCAAATCGCGACTCCAGGGGTCCAGGATCGCTCCATGCTTTGCGCCGACCGTAAGTACTGGAATAATGTTGGCAAGCACTCAGGCTTCTACACTGCGCAAGCTTGGGCAGGACCGGGATTCCCCGGAAGGGTGGTGAGGGAAGTAGCCCTGCTGGCACCGCTGGAGCCTAGGCCAAGATTTCTACATGTGAGAGCTTCTCAAAAGGCAAGCCTTTGAGGAAGAACAGAATTTCTAAAGGATTATGGGCCCATAGCGCTTACTTTGACGTCCTGAGTCGTCTAGCTTGACCTATGCGCCTGGGGCTCCCTGGGCTGGTGGATCTTGGATGAAGATGGACTGCTCGTGAATTTTGAGCTAAAGGTGCTTGGGCGTCTGTTTGCATGCGAACTTTCGTAGGCATGGAGCATGACTCACTAGCAGCATTACACGGGACAGCTTGAGCCCCTGAAGCCCACAAGCTGGCAAGGAGGCAAGATTAGAAGCTTGAACAATTACCCATATTTCCCCTCAAGATCCTTGAGCAACCATTGTAGTGTATACCGTATACCGCAAACCGCATTATAACCAGCAGCGCAAGGTCTCAGCGGCATCTTGCAGGTGCTGGCATGGATGCACTGATTGCAGAGCTTGACTGGGTGTAGTGCTCGCAGACTAATTGACTTCACTAGAAGACGAGCTCGACTGAGGTTGAGTTTTTGGGCGGGGCCTCTAGGGCTTAGGGTCTGCAAAACTGAGAGCTCTGCGCCCTCTCCCCCATACACACCTCAGTTGAGGGCCCTTTCAGCTTCAGGGAAGGGAAGTGCATCCATTTCAGAGCTACGCCAAAGATTTGCCCAGCAAAGGCGACTGAAATCCGGCTCAGCTCAGTTCGCTGGAGCGGCGACAAGGCATCTGCAAGGACATGTGGTGTCGGGAAAGCTTGCACGGCTACCTACAACCTAACCCCTGCACCGAAGCAGAGGCTATGTGCAAACCTCTCTCTTAGGAACAGTGCGCAAAATTGTTTAGCACGTTTCGCGGATAAGCGCTGAACTTTAACTCCAGACTGGAGTTCGGGTTCGGGTTCGGGACTGGGTTTGCATGAATGTGAACCTGAACTGGGCGTGGAGTTCTGCTTCGGGTTTAGGTGGCATACATAGTGAGAAGCCTCGTCTCCCAACGACACACATGGACACTGAGTGTAGGATTGCACCATCAGAAACCTCAACTCCAAAGACTAACCCCTATGAACGCTATAAACACCCTACTGAAACCTTGTAAACACTTTATTGAATATTGAAGCCCTTTGGCCTCCGCAGGGCAATTATGGCTTCTGCTGCATCAAATTCTGAAGGAACTCGTGGGGCAAATCCGGCGCGGGAACCTGTCAAGGGCTTAAAGCGGGTTGTACTGTAAGGATGCAATGTAGGGTCGTTTTGATTGGAAAAGGGTTTGAGATGTTATCTTACTATAACCAGATGAAGGTGCTACAAGTACTCAGGCTGCTACAAGTTCATAATCCCTTTTAGCCCTGTTTCCAATTCATGTTCCATCTTATTTGATTCTCGATTCTAGGGTTAAGGCTGAAGGGTTCAGAAAACATCTTAGGCTCATCTCATCATAAGGCTGCAGCTGTTGCGTGCACTGGGATTTAAAATGATTAACGGGTGCTTGGCGGTGAGTGGGGGACTGGATCCCAGGAACAATCCGTCTCTAACCCAAAACTGTGATACCTACATTCCCTCCCCCACTCCCTCCAAAGCACTGGTAAGACGAAGCAAGTGTCTTCGCTGCATCTCTCCTGTTAAGGTGTAGGACTTAAGGGCTTAGGGTGGTCTGGGCATACTTAATCTTCCCACAGTTGAGTGGTCCAGATAGAACGCGAGAAAAAAATTAGCCGCTACACCCCGTTTCTTCATTTATTCCTAACTAGCAGACCTCGGCCCCTAAGTTCTGTGCCTTCTCCTCCGTTTTCTTGCGCACGATTCCCGAATTCCTGCGGCGTTCTCAGTCCGCAATTTGTATCCAGGTGCGACGTGTTGCCGCATTTACCTCTTTCAATTCGGAAATACAGCCTCTGAAGTAGTGGCTATTGAATGACTGGTTGGAGACTTGACGTCCTGCCACATTTAGAACTACATCAGCCTTCAGAGGCACTGAAAGTCTTACCTAGACCTGTAGCTTGCTGCATGGACAAGCTAAGCAGCGCAAGCTGCAAATATGAAGCCATTCAAGCACAAATTCCAGCTGACAGCTTAGGAATTTGAACCGGCGCTCAACATCGAAACACTTGACAAAACCTAAACCCTCAACCCCAAACCCTAAACCTGAAATCGCAAACCTTCAGCCCTGAACCCTACACTGCGGAGGAAAACAAGCCTGATCCCTAAACAATAAACCCTACAGGCCCTACAGCTCTCCGAGAACCGACGTCTTGGTCCTCGCCCGCTTGTGTCGCGGGTCCTTTTCGTTGGGGCCAATGATGGCGTGGCTGAGGCGCAGTAGTTCCTAAACAGTTGCAAGGGCTCAGTGGTACAAATGCCGGACCTGTTGAAGAGGGGTTACAATTTCTGTGAAGGGATACATGCAGATGCGTAGCAATATGTAGGCATAGAATCTCCAAATATGGGGGCCTAATTTTGGGAAGTTCCTCTTCTATTGGGAGGGTTAAACAACTTTGGAAGGTGAAACCCTTCAATGCATGGCTTCTTGGCGGTTTAGACGCAAAGGACTATATTCGCGCCAACGACATGCTACACCAAAAAATACAGAATCTCATTCTGCCTTGGAGGTGATTGAGTATATCCCTGCTTGGAAAATACTACTCAGAACCTCAACCCCAAACCCCATCTCTGTTTACGAGATACTACTTAATTTCATTTGGTGTTGATGTGGGGTGGGGCTCTGGGCTTGGTGCCTAAAGTTGTACCGTTATAAGCAATGTATATCCGTAGACCTCCAAAAAGACCATGCAATTTACGAATATAATATGGATTTAGGGTAGGCTTTGCAGGATTGCCCTTTGGCGGCTTCTCTTTTTACTAGTGCGTAGGTGGGGAATGGGGGAGTGAGCGTAGGTATATACTGCTATCATGAAAAAGTATGAGCATGGTTAAAGGGATCCGCGCCCCCGCTTCCCTCTCCTTACAGGCCAGGCATCCATTTGTAGCCACTCCACTTCTCTCTGAAGGTAGATGACGTCGATAGCCTTGGCAGATCCTGCTGAATAGCAAGCTGCTATCAAGGTCCTAGAAATCGAGACAGCAAGTGCACGTGGCCAGAGAGAAACACTCCATGAAAGACCTATCTTGTATGAGCTTCTTTGACATAGGGAAAGTGCGGGGGTGCCTATGAGACATGGGAACGCCGAGAACGACTCAACGTCCTGCTGCCTGTCCGTACAGGCTGCTCGGGGGCCAATGCTGCTCAAACCAGGCTCAGGCGCTACAGGCCAGGGTGGCAGTAATTCAAAAACTGCAGGGGGCCCCGTCCTTTGAATCGCATCATGCCACTGATGAACCTTGCGCAGGGAAACACTCTGAACACACTGGGGAGAACAGGCAGGATGCAGCAAAGCAGCAGCTCAGAAGGCACAAGTCTCCAAAACAGTTGCTGGTTGTTAGTGGGACAGAGAGACTGGAAAGGAAAATGTTTCCACATAGGCTACTCTGGGATCCATTCCTCCGTACACTATCCACTAAGAAAACAGAGGCTTGTGATCACTGGGACCCACCAGTGAGGTTCAGTGTGGGACTTGCAGCGAATTTCAAAACCGTATGTCTCCCGCAAATTACCTTCAATGGGGATACCGGGGGTTCCCATGTGGCTTATAGACTTATGGAGGCTATAGGTATACTTACCAATACATGCTGTACCCATTGACCTGGAAGTAGGTCATGAAAGATTGCAATGTATGGAGTAGCACTAGGAATTTTTCACTGACTACCATATGGCTCCGGCCGTAAATCCCATACTACAAGCACTCACCAGTACGATTATGCCCAGAGCTTCCGAGGAATAATACTATGGAATCTTTACTGAGACCCCCATAATGTCTTGGTAGTCTCCATGTATCCCCAAGGCCCACAACAGCCCCCTACTGTTGGGAAGCCCCGTTTCCTCCTACAGTTGAGAAGCCACGTGAGAGCTTCATGATTTGGCTCTCAGTGGAGATGAAAAGAACACGGGGCCGTTCAACGGGATGTTAGGGGTGGCCCCTTGGTTACGGATCTTGGGGCATAATGAGAACTAGATTCTCGAATGGAAAAGACCGAGGGCCAATGAAATGGAAACTGGGCTTCTCAGCAGGCGTAAATGTTTTTGTTGGTTTTGTTTTTTGGATTTTTTTTTTTTTTTT